TGTAGCTGAGTGTTTCATTAACGTTTTCAGCAGGAGGGCAACTGGTTTTCACAGACGGGCAAAAGTTTTTGAACTGAACTTCTTTATAAGAAAAACTTTCCTCTAGATGGTCAAACCAGGGAGGCAAAATGGTCCTCACAGCCGATCAATTTGCCCGGTGCCCAGCTTTTAATGGAACCTGTAATATACGTACCTTGAAGAGTCAAAATATCGCAGGATGCTACAAGCACAAAAGTCACAAAACAGAGAGAAGTGAATCTTTCGTCTATCCACAGGACAAAGGAGTACATAACTGGACTACATTGGTCAAGCTAGTAGCAAACGTATAAAGATCTCAGAATCATGGCTAATTGCAGCTAATAACCTCGAGCTCGATAAGCGAGCGCAGTTTGCAGAAGTAATGAACCGTGCTAGAATAAGCTAACTACGACAATGTTTACTTCAAACAGGAACCAACTCATCACACATCATGTTCAATGCATGACTTGTCTCCAACGAACCGAGACAAAATTGCTAAACAGGTGTGTTTTGAAGTTCTTTGTTGTCGAATAAATTGATGAATTGATGATGGGGTGGAATAAAGTATTTAAGCTCAATTTTCAATCAGTAATACCTTGAATGACAGAAAAATGTAGCTGTTTAACATTTTTGCTCCAGGTTTGCCAAGTTTCCAGACGAAAGCGCCAGCGTTGCCCCCTTGCCAGTCTAATCCGCCATGTTGGACGCTGCAAACTAGGGGCTTGGTATCTAGTGTGGTTTTTGGTTCGAAACGAGCAAGAGACTGGGTATGAATAATTAAAATTGATAATTATTATTTTGAAAAACTGAGCATAGTTCACCAAATGTCAGTGTTTTTAGTTCAAACAGAAAGATGAAATACACTTTTGGAAAGCTGTGATATGGTTTGGAGGGGAGAATCAGGAAACCGAAATCAGACCCGGGATCCTGGAATTCGGAAACCAGATTATTGATATTGAGAATGACGACAGAAACAATTTACTTCAGCAATGTCCAATAAATAAATAAGGGACAAATTATTTTATTGTTGTTTTTTTTCCCCTTTGCTTTCAGCTTCAACCACATGTTTTGAACATCCCCTAGCTATGCATCTGGCCAGAAGCATATCACCTTGTTCGAGGTGNTTTTAAAGAACTATGAGCACAGGTAGCTCCAACAGTTTTAGATATCACATAAAATGATGATGAAAATTTTGTGCGGAAACTTTGAAAAAAGTTTTCTCGAAGCGGTTCGTGCAATTTCAGCTTTTTGAAAAACTCACTCGTGCAAATTAATTCCAAATTGAACGAGAAAAACCGTATGATTACCTCTACAAAATGTTTACCCTATTTCAGACAAAAACAGTTCAAGGTGCGTATGAAAACCGGGTAAAACTTACATCTTGGTGATGAGGTCGAGTGGTTACGAGTCACTTATAAAGCACGATGCTCCTCTGTGATTAATTCCAAATTGAGCGAGAAAAACCGTATGATTACCTCTACAAAATGTTTACCCTATTTCAGACTAAAACAGTTCAAAACCATAGTCTTGTTTTGTAGGATAATGGCGTGATAAAAGAGTAGTCCAGCCCTGTTATATACTTTCTTCAGTCCGTCAGAAAACATGAGAAAAGTAATCGGAAAAAAAAGGCTACGGAAGGAACTGAATGTAAAACTACGTTATAACTTGAAGATACTAATTTAATTATGTATCAGACTAGATATTTACCCATTTTGTTTTTGTTTTGTTTTGTTTTGTTTTGTTTTGTTTTTTTCGTTTTCTGCATTTTGTACTTTATGGAATGAATTAACCAACCCTCTGATCTCCAACGCGCTGATTTTCTCTATGCCTGTCGTCACGCAACACCTCGGCATGGAAGATTAGTTTGCGTTACGACTCATGGGAGATGAGAAGATGCCGAAAAACATAGTTTTGGGATTGTTCTTTAATTTAGAAAGTAGACCGTTATGCTGACACTTTTTGTCCTTTTTCAGTAGTAATCCGTTGAGATAATACAAAGAGGGTTTAATATATGCAATATATTTTAGCTTTCGTTTAATATTGTCTCCCTCGTTACTAGTGAAGTATATTCATATTTTCAAAATAGCAAACATTTTTATTAGTTCACCAAAACTAGTTATACTATAAACTGCTATGAATTGCATCAATGCACATTCTTAAACAACATGAAGAGAGGGTCAAGTGACTTCAAACTATTCAATTCAAGGCGGAAAAAAAGCCTTCTCGCTTCTTTAAATTTCTAAAGAAATGCTTTTCGGTATTTTATATATTTTGCGGCGTGTTCATCCATGCATATAATAAGCGTCACTTTTCAGTTTAAAAAAGAGTGAAATACCTTTATTTGGGTTCTTTTAAAAGTTAAAAGTTTCACTTAAGAGCAGACCATTTGTAACGTTGCTAAATATTTACATTAGTGCTTATGACCGTTGATATATCTTGCCCGTAAATTCCCTCAGTCAGCCGTCGATGGGAAATATTTATTTACGTTTCAAGGTACATACCATATTTCCTAACAACACCTATCTGAATGATGTGACGATACTTTTTTGTCGCTTACTTCAGTCTTGTCAATATGCTCACGAGACTTCGAAATTAGCCAATGGGGTTGGAGGAAAGTGACGTACTGTTCCAAAAAAGGGTCGCACAAAATTAACATTTTTCCTCTACAAGTACAGCATCCCGCCTGCTCATTTGCATTTCGCAATTAGCTTGAGTCGAGTATTGTTCCTATCTAGGCACAGAATATTGCGACAAAATGGCATCTGGTGGAATGGTACTCATCAAATATCTGTTATTCTTCTTCAACTTTATTTTTTGGGTGAGTGGAATTTACCTTGCTCGTTTCATGACTGTGCTCTTGGATAACAAAAGTGTTGTACTTTACGCTGCTTTGCATTGTGCATAAATTTTATCTTCGCTTCAGCTACTTGTGGTTTGTTCGTGGCTTTATATCGCGACAAACTGTTAATACACCGCGCTTTCGTTTTCTAAACACCATGTATCCTATTTGTGTGAGTGACAAATCGTAAATTCGAATTTTGTCGAGGGAAAGCATCGAAAGGCTGACCGACTTTCTGCTCCATCGCGCGCGCTTTGACCAAAGGCGTTCGACAGATAATTAAAATATCACTTGAGCGATGTGCTAGATTTTAATATTTCAGTGGGAGGAACGAGGGTTGGAAGCTACAGCTCTTAAATTAATCGCGAGACGTGTATAATTTGGTTTCGGAAATTAGCGAAAGAGACTTGGTATGAGAGATTGTTGGTTCCATTTCATGTCAATCAACGGAAATTTGGTGTGTAAATTTCAGTTCGGTTCAGTTCGAAGAGGACGTGTCATAAACTCATTTTCAGTTCCGTGGCTCTAATTGACTCTGTTAACGTCTTGCTTACAGAAAACGGAGAGAAATACGCAAATTATTAATGTATATAAACTTGTGGTGAAAACGTAAAATAGCGAGATATCACTCGATGGGGCGAAAATTGTTCGCAAGTTTACATTTGCGTTTGCCGTTTAAACGGCGAGATTTAAGAGAAACATGGATTGAAAGTGATGGATTTCAACATCTTCAGGCGAAAAACGAAGCTTTTGTATATTTGGGCTAAGACTGAAATTTATCCGAAGTAGTTAAACTTAGACAAGGGTAGGGATGATAACCATGACAGGAAAGATCCAGAGCTAGACAAATATTAATTCACTTGTTATCCTGTGTTCAAAAATATGCAGGCCCCGCCAGCTTCGTATCATGTTCATTTTAAATCCCGTATCTAATCTTTGTTGCTTGCTTTATAATACAATTTAATTATCAAATTCGAGATAAAACTAGGGGTTTGTAAGTTTAAATTTGTGATTCTTGTTTTTTAAGAATTAAACCATGACCCCCGTGCTGTTCATGAAATAAATGTTGACTTTAAATTCATTTGAATGCCACAGGCAGTTTATACAGTTTACATAACATCCCGCCTCATATCTGTTTTTGAAATTCCAAGTTTCTTTCGTAGGATATTTCATCTATTTCATATTCGTGTTATAATGAAGGGGTAAGTCCATGCCCAACGATCACTTTGGTCTAAAATGTTTGATTAGAAACAAAGTGTAAATCAATAATAACAGTAGTTTGGAAGGTGACCTTTTTGGGAGCAAATTTTTAAGGTTGGTGTGACAGAGATAAGGGATGTAGTGAAGGCTTGGCCGCTGGTTACATGTATTTTCATCGGCCGAAAGAGGGCTTGAATCTGGCTGACATTTCACACGAAGAGTACTTGGGGTGAGTTTGGAGGTACAAATGTCAGAAAAGCTAGCTGAGCTTGTTAATGGGCTAAAATTGTAGCCCAATAAAAAGAGAGCGTGACTTCAGACTGAGAGAATCACCCTAGTTTATGAGCCTGTTAAGTGTTTTGTGGAGTTCCTGTTAAGCCTGGTTCTCATATGTCACAGCATATCTGAACATTTATCGCTGAATCATAATCTATCCCAGGCGTTGACCGCTGGCTTGCCTGCGAGGTTAAAGCCGGTGGCAGGCGCAATGTACTCCAGTAAGACAATTTGATCCATATTTACAGGTAAAATGGTTGAAAATTGCACAATTCGATTTGCATTTCGGGCAAATTTGAGTATGATGGCGATCCATCGCAGATGCGCTGGGGACCTACTGGGACAGATCGCCGAATGTTGTCAGTCGCAACTGGCGACTACGTCGCAGGTAGGCCGGCGGGATATGAGAACCAGGCTTAAGGGTTTTTTTCAGGGTACAGTACATTATTTAATACTACGTAAAAAATTAATGAGATACAGGATGTTTGGGGAAAAAATTAATGGGATCTGGGATATTTAGATCAGATAAAATGGTACATTGAGTTGGGAAATCATTTATCTTTGTAATTCGGATTAATAGAATACAGGATATAATCTTAGGCTAAACATTAATGGGACATACAAACCCTCCCTTCCCTCCTCCCTCTTTCTAACACCCCTGATGGATAATTAGTTTTGAATCCTGCGATGAATCTTGACCAAAAGTATGCAGTGTATTGTCGACTAGTAGCAAAGAGCCCTACCAACTAGAGTATTGAAAAGCCATTAGAAAGTTTCTATTGTATAACTTATTATTTTTATAAACCTGCTAATTCGAGCCCCATTATTTTGAATTCCCTATTATTTCAAACTCAAAACCATTTCCCCTGAATTTGCCCTCCAATCATTTACTTTCAGCTATTTCAAACTCCCGTAATTTTGAGTCATTTTATGTGCATGTTTCCCCTGAGAGGCCGAAATAGCAGGGGTTCAATTGTAATGACAATTTTTTTCGGGCCTGATATAAGCAAGTTAAGCTTGTAGAATTGTAATAACAAAATAACGAGGGTGTGTTGTCATGTTTTCAATTTTTTTTGATGGTGTGAATATATGGAAAAGACAGGATATGTTTAAAGATAAAGAAGCAAACTGACTGTCACAATTTTAATAATTGAGGCTGACTGATGTGCATACCTATGTAAAATAATATGTCCAGCAGTGCTAATACATAGTTGGAAAGTACCTCAGTTGCTATAGTGTTCCTGACAGGAAATTGAGAGCAACAGAGAGCAGGTATGTCAGAGAATAACAATGAACACCAAGTCATCTGAACACCTTAGTACAAGGCAAATGACTTCTCTGAAATACCTAATTTAAATATGAACAGTATTTCAGAATTAACCTTGAAAAACAAAGTGACGTTTGAAACTTATAGGAAGCTTTAAAATGTCCCCTATACCATAGTTGCTTTTGAGAGCACACTGAGGCTTGACAAGAAAGAAATTAATTTCTTTGTTATTTTAACAAGAATGTAAGTGATTTGAGAGTATATTACAGCTGTCCAAGAAAAAGCATCTCTTATCAAACGGCTGTAATTGGGCTGTTGAGCTTCTCATGCCCCAAGCAGTCATGTGTTTTTGTGGATAATGTATAAATTTATACCATGCCATACTGTAGGTAACTTGTAGCCCCTATCCATGCACCCTTTATTTAGGGGCTTACATTGTTAAAAGAGATTTTACACTGGTGAGAATTGCTAGGGGCATGTATACTGTCCAAAGTACTAAAGTATTAAAAATGTATGCAAATATTTAAAACGAAATTTATACTGCATAGTTTATAACTTCAAAGTACACTTGTTAAAGAACTTTGTGTGTATATTCTTGCGATTGAAGGGATTTCAAAAGTAGCAGGTTTCTGGTGATCTGAACCAGCCACTCTCTTGACCAATTGTCTGATCAATGCTTTTTAAAACAATGGTAAAGTCAACTGGCTCCTCCAACATTAAACAGCTAGCAATATGTATTACATCAAACCTGAAACACCATGTTTGACCTCATTTCCAAACACTGAGAAGAGAGTTGAAAATACGACGCACAGCGTGGTATTTTTGACGAACTTGGAGGTGTTTGGAAATGTGGTCAAACACCGCCCGAGTGTTTTCTATATCTTCCCAATCGAAACTAAAACTAAAGAGAAAACGGAGAAAAAAAATCTTTAAGATCTAATATGCTAATTAAGATCAGATATCCACACACTGTCACGGTCATGATTTCCTTTGTTTAAGCAATTGGTACATTATTAATGAGTTTGAGAAGTGGACAGAATGTTTTGTAGTATTGATGGCACAGTATAAATTCTTAGAACCTCCCAAAGCATCATATTCTCAGAAATTTGCTTTATTGAGCACTATAACCAGAAGTTAATCTATAGAATTTTGCTTGCCACAATGAGAAAGGCATTCTTAAGTGATGCGCATATTGTGTATTATAAGTCAAGAATATCTCGCTGGCAATTTTTGTTTCGTTTTCAAGTTTTTACTCAAGTTCAAAATTACTTTCAGCCAGGATAGCTGGGTGCTAATTTATAAATTTAAAGGTGAGCTTTTTATCTTGAAAACAACACTACCAGTATTTATCTCAAGAGTAGCTGGCACACTAAAGACTACTAGATGGTGATTTTTGCCAGTTGCTGGTACTTACACCAGTATTTATAGAGAACACTGCAATAAAGCCACCTACTTCAAAACCGTATGACTGCCCTTGTATTTACGCGGTGCAATTGATTATTTCTTCCAAGATTTACATATTCTCAAAATGCAATTAAAGGTAGAAAAAATATTGAGTCATGCCCAGCAATTTTTTAGTTATCTACTTTTATTTTTGCTCATTTACATGAAAATAGCATTATCTGAAAAAGCCCATACTTTTTTCATTATTATTATTATTCGTGTGGAGGCACGGTGGCCTCACAGTTAGTGTACTCGTCTCCAGATCGAGCGGTGTGGGTTTTGAAACCTGGCCAGGGACATTGTGTTGTGCTCTTGGGCGAGACACTCTTTACTGTCACAGTGGTTCTCTCCACCCAGGTGTATAAACGGGTACCAGCAAATTCAATGCTGAGGGTACTGTGATGGACTAACATCCCTTCTGGGGGGAGGCGGGGGAGTAGAAATACTCCAAGTCACTTCATGCTACAGAAACCAGGATAAGCTCTGGCCTGATGTGTCACTTGGCTTGTATGCAGACTGTACATTTATTTTGTGCCAAATGAAACCATGGCATGAGGAGTTCTACTTTACCATTCTGCCTTACTTTACTATAACTATAAATATTTAACAAAAATACTGTGTCTTCCAGGTCTCTGGCATTTGTTTGATTGGCATTGGTGCATGGGTAAAGTCAAAGTATGGTAACTTCATTCATTTAAGCGACAACAGTCTAACAACAGGTCCAGTGTTTCTCATCATCATCGGTGTCATTGTGGCATTAGTGGGCTTTTTGGGATGCTGTGGTGCTTACAAGGAGAACTACTGCATGGTCACGACGGTGAGAAAATAAATAAATGAATAAATAAATTGTTAAATAATTAATCAATGGATGATACTGGCCATGTCCAGGGTAGGGCCAAGGTAAACAGCCCTGAAACCTATAAACATTTTCCAAATGAATGTTTATCCCAGTTAGCAGAGGGCAGACTAATGGGCTAGTTTACATGTACAAGATAGTGTAGTCATTGTGTTTAAATTAAACTGAGATGTACTAATAAAGTTACTACATGTAGGTCGGTTAGTTTCAGTAAGAGCAATGTTGCTATTTTGATATTTGAGTTTTTGGTGTCAAGAACGTTCAGTGCTCTTGAACAATCTAGCCGCATGCACTGCACTATCTAAATAATACCTAAATTATTAGTAAACACTTTGAGATTTACCTATTTTTGGCAAATAATTATCCAGGTTTAGAAATTTAAGTGCAAAGAGGGATATATCTCGAGTGGCATAATTTGTTGACTTTTGTTACATATCAAACTATAGTAATATGAATTGTGTATTATGGTCCAGTTAAAGATGAATTAAGGCATTTTTTTTGCCAGAAATACATTTCTTCATTGTTCTCATCTTAAAAGCAAGTTGCATGTATTTACTACATTCTGAAATGTAACTTAGACATTTTTTTTTAGTTAGTGGTTAATAAAATGGAAGTTTTTAACTTTTACATGTGTTCCTTCCAGTTTGCTGTGTTGCTGGCAATAATCTTCATCTTGGAGATCGCAGCTGGAGCTTTGGCTTATGCTTACAGAGGAAAAGTAAGTAAGGCAATTATTATGCCTGCCAACTCTGTACAAGTCCCAGGTGTGAGAATTTTAGCCTTGGAATGCCAGGACGTTCCAAAATGGGAATAGACCATTTTGCAGTTGTCTGCTTAGTGACCTGGCCTTTGAATGGCAGCAAGGCTGGAGGTGACCATGTTTTGATACGGACCTCGCTGCTTTTGTTGCGTAAATCACGTTGTTCTAGTGCTAACTAGGTGCATTAGCATGACAAAAGCAGAGAGGTCTGTATCAAAGCAAGATCACCTGCAGCTTGGCTGCCATTCAAAGGCCAAGTCACCAAGCAAAAAAACTGTAAAATGGTCTGTTTTGAAAAGTGATATTAATTTTGTGGCAACCATGCTTTTCAAGCACAAAGGATTCTTAGGCTCAAATTTAAAATTCATGATTGTGTGGTCTCTGTTTCAAATCTATTTTTGACAGATCAGTCTTAATTGTCAGTAATGTTATTATTACGTAGACAACTGAAAGGATTCTAGGTGAAACACTAATAAGGCCAAACTGTCCTGGTAATCAGTTTTATATGTAAAAAAACTGATGGTTTGTCTGTCAAATGCATGGCATAGCAAGTCATTCAGGCTCACCACAGGTCAGGAAATGGTCAGGGAAAAAAATCGTTAAGGTCAGGGAAAAGTCAGGGAATTTAATTTTTTAGCTAGGAAAAATTGAGATTTTGAAGAAAAGTCAGGGAAATTGAAATAATAATTAACACGGCTGATTTACTACCATTGAAGGCTGGAAGAAACATTTGGGGTCACCGTGATCTCAAAGATATTTTTCATGAATATTTGTTGAAAACATATTAGTCTTGATGAATGAGTCGGTAGGACGGCTGTAAGTTGAGGCCAAAAGCCGCTACTGGATCTGACATTTTGTATTTATTTGGTCAAGAAAATCTTATTTTTATCAGGGAAAAGTCAGGAAATTTTGAAAAGTGATGCCTGTGGCTACCAGGGTATTTGTTAATATGTTTTCTAAATGTTTTCATAATTTTTGCCTTTAAAATAGCTGGAGGATTATGCTAGAGATGGACTGACTAAAGGTGTTGAAAAGTATGACTCAGATAAGATTTACAAGGATACAATGGACAAAATACAAGATCAGGTGAACGTTTTAACCTTTCAAAATGAAAAGTAACACAGAAACGTTTCATTTGAATTGTCACATGTACAAGAAAAATTATCGGTTTTGTTCAATTGGCACTCCTAGACAAGTGACAGATTTCAAATGGTCAGCAGGTATAGGTTACAAACAGTACTGTTAAAATCAGATCACACACAGTTGCCATCTGCAGATGTCAAAGTGTGAACCACTTTGTGCAGCATAATGAACAGTACCACATGAAGGTACTGTTCCACAGCTTACATTAACCCAGGATTAGGGTTCTCTAGGGGAGGTGCGGTGGCCTCATCATGGTTAGTGTGCTTGACTTGGGAGCGGTTTGAATGTGTGCACGAGTTCATGATCAAGTTCAACATGCATTTTAAGACTGTCTCCAACTGATGCTGGCTCACCTCTCAATTTCGTCCAGAGGTCTTGATTTCTTGGTACTTAAACCAAGAGGATCACAGCCTCTAGGAGATAGGGGGTGCAGGACTAAAGAAAGGTCTCAAAACTGTTCTGCACTTGATGATTGCCATTTAAGTATGTACAAATTGCAAGTCCAGTTTTCTAACACCTTAAATTAAATAAGCACCATCGAAAACCTTTTAAGTGCCTCTCTGCCAACATCAGGCCCAACCTTAACAAGTCTATAAAGCTTGGTTTCGTTTTCAGATGGATCCACAACCAAATGTTTCCAGCAATGCACAGCTTCAAGTATTAAACTTAATTAGCAATGTCACTTGGTCAGTTGAATGCAGCGGCTTGCAAAGTTTTCTTCTGTTACCTAATATTTTCACTGTGAAGTTTGTTGTGTGCTTTTCTCTGCCATTTTAAATTGTTATACTTTCATTATCTTGTTCCAGTTAAGAATTGCATCATTGTTTGTTTTGGTATTCACATGTCAGAATTCAAGCAAAACAAAAGACATCTGTATGATTTTTAATATGTTTCAAATCTGTAATCAAAATCTTCACAACAAAGAGCTACATAACCAAAGTCATTTTGGTGCACAGAAACTTTGTCAATGTGACCATGCTGTAAATTTCCAGTGCTGGGAAGTGATTTTGATTGACAAATTCAGCTAACACACACATGACATTGAATTGGGTGGTTACATTGTGTGAAAACGAGGCTCCGTGAACATTTTCTTTATTATTGCAGCCACTTATATTTGTTGTGTTAATCATGTGCGTTGCTGTAGTTGGTTAGTCAATAAAGAATAGAAATGGTCAAAATCCTTGAGGAATTTTTGAAAATTAGGCTCAATGAACATGGTCTTTGTGGCTTGAGCAAGGTGGAGAAAAGAATACTAGAGAGAAAAACTATAAGTTCTTTCGGGAAGGGTATATTTACGATGTTTACATGTGTCAGCAGTTGGAGGATTTCCATGTCAAGACACGTTGCTAAAGATCTCTAAGAAAAATTGAAGGGCCTCATTTTAGCCGTAATCTTCAGGGAGAGCGATGGCAGGGCAGAAGCACGCTCTTCGTGTAAGGGAGGAAGCGGTGGACATTGCAATCATGTATTTGCATTATTGTTCCAGTTGAATGATTATTCATGTTTTAATATCAAAGACATCCTGAGTGATGCAGTCTTTACAAGACTACCCCAGTCTTGTTATATTTTGAGAGCAATTTCTCTGTGTCAATGACACTTGATTTTCTTGTTGGAGTATCCCACTAAATGTGCATTTTTTTTATCTAGATTAGGCAACAGAAATTGTAAAATATTTATGAATTCACCATGACTGTTAAATCCAGTGAAAAGTGTAATAAATTTGCTTTCTTTCTTTGAGCTCTACATCCGGAAAGAAGGTAGGATACAGAAAAATTATGAAACCTGGGAATTCTAAGATGGTCATCTTAATTAACTAAAGATTTCATCCTCAAGATGTTTGTGCCATTCGAGAAATAATTTCTTCAGCGTGACACATTCTCCTTCAGATGCTGCCGAATCCATCGCTTCATTTCCTTTTCTGCTTTGATTCATCTTTTCTGAAGCGTACCTCTTCCCCGCTTGGACCTTCTCCTGCTTATCTTTATCCCACGAAAGAAAAAGGAACTGCATCGGCCTTCAATCAATTTTTACTAGTGTAAGGATTAATAAAATCTTCTGATGTAAAGTGTACGCTGCAGTACTGATGTTGAAATATCGTGGATCTCTTTTCATTTTCACAATCCAAACAGAGAGGAGATTGACTTTTAAAATTTAACGGAAACCCATGAAACAACAGATCTTTTCGGTTAGCGGACCTGGTCTGACAATCTCCGCTGCAACAAAACTGCAGAGTCATGGCTTATTTTTCTCTAAATGACAATACGAATGTACTTGTTTTGGTTATTGTTGTACCCAATTCAAGTCACGTGACACTCGCGCGTGAGTTAGCCAAATTTGTGTATTGTTTACTTTTTTAGGAGACACATGTCATGCTCAAAGTGCTTTTCTTCCCCCCAGCCCGACTATTCGAGTGTCCTGAAGATTCATGACCAAGTTCTTTTAGAATCCTGTGGAAGATTCTAGATCCTCACAAACATCCGTAATGATCCTTAAACTGTTTTATCAAGGGCTAAGCTTAAGTTGTAGCTAGGCTGTGCTCCAGAAATGCCCGGGTGCCACAGGTGACTAACTTTTGCCTGTCATTTAAGTTTAAGTGCTGGGCACCCAGGATTTCATGGTTAGGAACCTTTGGGCTTCCTGTGGTTTCTTTGACCACAGCCTTGTGTAGGTCAAATGCAGTTTGATTTTTTTGCAGTTTGACTGTTGCGGGATTGATGATGATGGATACAAAATGTACTGGCAAAATTCTAATGCAACTGCCGATGAAGATTTCCCTGAGTCATGTTGTGTGAAACCAAGGCCAGGAAATCTCACCTGTCCAGGAACTATTAGAGATGCAGAGAAGGCTAATCCTGCAGTGTTTAAGAAAACGGTGAGAAAATGCAGCAAGCGAAATTGATTGGATGTGGATGCTACTGTTAACTATTTATATATTATTTCAATTAGTCTTATAGCTCATTTTAAATACATGTACGTTCGTGGATCAACAGAATTAGTGGAAAATCTCATTGGCGTTGAAGCCATGGGGTATATTTCATTTAATATGGTGCTACTGAAATTGGTGATAAAGCACCGGCCTGATTGGCCACTTGGTTCGTATGCAGACTGTACCTTTATTTGTGCCAAATGAAACCATGGCATGAGGATTTCTGCTTTCTCTTAACCGTGTAGGCCACTTGCATACATGTAAAGTCAAAATGGCATCGTGATGGCTATCTTAATGCTCATTTTTGGCTTACTTTCTAGGGTTGTCTCAAAGGATTTGAACAATACCTCAAGGATCACCTCATTATTGTTGGTGGAGTAGGTGTCGGCATTGCTTTTATCCAGGTTTGTTACTTATATCTTCAAAGATTTTCCTTTTTGGGTAAAGTTTTGCTAGAGCTTCATTTTGTGGTTTGTAGCTAGGCATTATTTTGCAGTGCTAAATTTAGCTGAGTTCACATGTTTGTTGAATTGAAGAATGACATTATCCTTTTCAGGGTTGGCTTTTCTCATTTGTACGGTGTAATCCAACATGGATGCAGGGCAGTTTTGGGCAGAATAGAAGCTGCAAAATGTCTCAAAATTGCTGCACAAACATGTTGGACGATATTGTAATACTAATGAGAAAAGTTTGCCGTGAAAAGGACTATATTCATTTCATTTTCACAATTTTATCAAGTTAAAGATCTTAAATAAAAATAGGCAATTATTTCTGTGTTACCTTGTGCCTCTGTTTCAAAATGAATCCAAGGGCAAAGCCAAATTAAAATGAGTTTGACTTGCATGCATGAAAATGATAGTGTGCATGAAAATGAACCTGTAATCAGAGTTCATTTTCATATGGACACGGAGACAAAAGGAAATTGGGAAATGGCCTGTTACAAAACAGAAGGCACAAATCACACACAAGTGTATTTAAAGATTTGCAAGGCTTCCACAGAGTTTTATTAGTTTTTCTCACAGTGTTATCTACTCTTTCTTCTTTTCAGTTGATTGGTATTGTGTTTGCCTGCTGCCTGATGCGATCCATCAAAAAGGAGTATGAAGTGATGTAATGACATGCTGGCTGGCCAATCAGCAGTGAAAACAGCAAATAATTTAAAACAGTTTTCAGTGTACTTTAACCTTGTAGTAGTTGGTGAAGTTAGGCTAATGCTGTGTTGTATGAATATTAATGCTGAGTTAGTGAAACTTTTGATAATACAGAAACTCTGAAATTTAGAAATGTAGAAGAATGGCTGTCTTTTTCTGCTCCTGTTAACTTTTTTAGTGGACATCTCAGGAGCAAAAGACATGCAATTGGTGGTTTCAATTCATTTGTCTTTTTTAACTTTTTGTTTTTTCAGGGTCTGTTAGTCATCACTTATTGACGGCAGCATATAGAGTTGTTACTAAGTTAGGCTTTTTACTTCAGAGTCTGTGTGTTATGGAAGGTCCCAGTAATTCAAAGTTATAGCTTTGGTGGTATAACTTGCATCCGTGTATGCAGTACATTGTAGCATTCTCTTTAGCAATGAGTAGGGAGATAATGGTCATTACATAACGATTAAAATGATTTTCAGTTTCCTTTTGGAAGTCTTAGTGTTTGCGCATCTTCATCTCATCTCATCATCATCATCAACCTTATCAACATCATCATCATCGTCGTCGTCATCTCCAATTCAGCAGTTTCCAAGAACAATTTTTCTTTCAGTAGATCTGTAAACCTGTGCTTTTCCTTGAACTGTGTGTGAGATGTAGCAACCTTGTATCTTCTTTTAACGAATTTTGTCAAGTGTCTGGGTCGACAATGTCATAATTTAATTACACCTGCTGTCTAATTCAATAGTGTGATTTCCAGAGCACTAAATGGGTGCATTGTTATTTTGATATCTTATTTAATTGGTTCTTATGTCACGTCATCACCAGACTAAGGCTCCATTGTTTAGTTTTGGGCTTTTCTCTGTCACGCAAGGTTCGTTTTCTCCGGAAAGCGTGGGGCGCAACGCACCTCCCAGAAGGCTCAACAGGCTTGACTGATAAAACATTAGAACAAACAACAGAGAATATAAACCTAGCCCTTAAAATAACAGAGGTTTGTGAAGCAGGGAGTGAATGGAAAATTTAGCAGGTTCTGAAGAAGTACGTGACTTTTGAAAGCGTGGTGTTACGTGACAGAGAGAGGTCCAGGGACTCCCCGGACGACCCAAATAACGCTGCTTGGTTCTAAACACGCTATAGCTTTGACTCTTGAGGGTATAAACGGGATTGTTTTTGTTTGTGTGGTAACAAGCCCAAACGAAAGACTCCTTTTGACAGTTTAATAATCAGGTCGTCACGTAACGCTGATCTCCAACTGTCACGCAACAATAGTGACTTGAAAGAATATTAATCAAGAAGAAACTGCATCAGTGGTAGTTGGTTTATGGTTGTCATGGAAACATGACTGGCTTTGTCCGTTTGAAGATAAGGGTTGTAGTTCATTATCCAGAAGTGATTTACCTGTACGTTAGTTAGTGTGACCTTTTAAAAAGTCAGTAAATTTTTGGGTTAAGGTCTCTTGTGTTCTGTTTCTTCGCTAGTACAAAGTACTTTATCACTTCTTAACCTTTTTACATGCAGCTCCAGTTTCTAGTTCAGTCGCCAATTCAACATGGACTGCCTTCTGTATTCTCTGTAGATAACTTAGATAACCTGGGCCTTTTTTCATACCTTGTCTAGTCCGTTTACTCCTTCAGGATTGTCTCACTCTATTTCCCCGCCTTCAGAGGCACCACAATATTCTGTCAGGGGGGAGGGGGTGAGGAAAGCCTCTCCTTTGGTCTACGAGACCCCGCTCGTCGCCCGCCCGCTTTTTCAATCGTCCCCACTGACCGAGAGCCTGGAACAGGCTAGCCTTGCGCGTTTTCTGCAGATTGGGTCTAGATTACCTGTGTCTTTAGATGCCTTGTCTATTCTGATTACCCCGGGGTTCCCCACTAGTTTCCTCTTCCCTCAAATTTCTTACTCTGATTTTACGCCTCTGTTACAAAATACGCGGACACCGACTTGCTGACCTTTTTAAGCGCGCCCGCGTTCTACTGAGAAAATATATCAAACATTCGAAATTGTGTTTCACAAATTTCCCAACACTGCGGAGTTCGGCAAATTTTACGCTCTAAAAGAAACGACGGCCACGCCTGCCAGGAGAGGTCAGCGGTCTTGGGTAAATATTAGTCACACAAGTAGCCACTTTTAAGACCTTTTAACCTTCAAAAAAAAGTTCCATTTGACGAAGGGCAATGAACATATTGAGAAGGGACTTGGACATTTTCTGGAAGCTCTTAAGGCGAGTTGTACTTTCGGTTTTAGATTCAGGCCCCGTCTACCCTACCCCAGAGAAATTTGAAAACGCAGCATTATTCCTACGGTCAGGCCTACCCACCGAAAACCGGAGAAATTAAAAAACGCAAAGCTGGCTTTGTGTTTAAATGTGGACAGAACTCATTTAGTCTGCGTAACAAGCCTTCCCGTACAAGCCGAATGAAATCGGGCCGCACAGTGGCTTCCCGATTTTTCAAACCCTCGACTTTTCGAACCTCCCCTATAACTCGAACAAAAGGTCGTCCACTCAGTCGAACATTAAATGTCTTGAATTTTGCTTCCAATTTCTCGAATTACCTGATATTTCAAACCGATTTTCTTTTCCCTTGGAGGAGAGCAAAATCGGGATTCCACTGCATGTTCCAACAACCAATTCTTCTAGGAACATATTTAAACGAGAGATTGGTCTTATTGATCCTAGCTTGTATGCATGGATGTCACTAAGTTCTCCAGGATGCTTCCGTTCAGGACTATTGGAAGTTATAAGAAAACTACTACAAATTCTTAAAAATAGGTACCCAAAGGGTACATGCGTGGGATACCTTATTTGCATTAACGGACACGAGCCGACGACAATAGCGTGGGATACCACAGGTATCCCACAAAAAAATGATTGGAAATGGTAACGCACAAACATTTGAAAAATATTTCACGCTCAACTTGGAAAATAATTAAGAAATCAGCCCCAGTCCGAAAACTAGAAGAACAAAAAGTGCATAATACTTCTCCCAAATGAGGAAAACATATAATGTGTGGCTTTGTACGTTGCACAAGTCGAGTTATATTCTGAATGGAGGTTTCTTGTGGGACCGGGGCCTCCTGAAATATTTCTCGCTGCCGGAGGCGAATGCCTGTTTCAAGATATCCTATATATCTTTCCTTAAACTTCTTTCTAGTTGTGACGTAGGGGACGAAATCGCAAATGAGTACATATGAGTTCTCGAACAAATCATTACTCCTATGGGTAAAACATAGCTATTAGTAAAGTTAGCTTATTCGCCTCCCGAAGACCTGCTCTTTGCAGACTTCTGTAATTTAAATGGTTTGGTTATTAGGGATACCATGCATATTCACTCACAGAGGGATTCATAACACCACACGGACTTCTCCACAGAAAAGGGCTTAATATCAGATGGATCATGTAACCTTTAATAGCGGTCGCTGTCCTCTACACTGGGCCTGGTACTTCGGGGTGGAGATATTGGAAGCAACCACATGCTGGTAGTTGACTCCGTTTGAAACTAAGGAATTTACCCAAGGAGTCCGCGAGGAGAAAACTAAATCTTGATACGCTAAAAGACCAAGAAACGCAGAGAGAGGTCAGCCTGCGATTACAGAATAGGTTCCTGAAGCTTCTAGGAGGAAGAAACAGGGGTGAAACTGATATATGGCAAAGTATCAAGAACATAGAAATGGAAACAGGAAGGAAGATTTGGGGGTATTCAAATAGGAAAAGAAGAGTGGATCTCAGTGATGCATATATGGACTCTAGTTGAAGAAAGGAAAGAGCTGTTAAACGATACCCACCACAATTCAGCCGAGGATCCTCAGAAAAAATACTGAACAAAAGATAGCCTGAGAGCTTTTAAGAAAAGCTCTCGGCAACACAAAAGAAACTACATTTAGAATACGACAAGAGAAACTAACAGTAGAAGCAAAAAAAGTAAAAGATAGCAGAAAGCTCTATAACATCACAAGGAATCTTTTATAGATAAACCGAGCAAAACTCTGCAACAATTTCAGATCCTAGTGCAATGTTCTGACGACAATTGAAGACCAACTAAGGGGGTGGGCGGAACACTTGACTACAATACAATACGAGTTTATTGTCATTCGCTTAGCTATTTGGGTGTGACAATACATGATGAAATAACACACCAGCTAATTTGAGTAGTACACTTAACAAAGATGATAGACTGATAACTTTATTAAGTAAAATCATTGCAGTCGCCGACGCGGCTGAATTATGACATACTTTACAACTCACAGACAAAACCTAAAAATTTAATACAATATGATAAGATATGGAAACTATGTATAATTAAAACTCTGCTTCATACAACGCACCATGATAATCCATGTAACGCACCTTGCCTTGACACCAACGTACCTGAATTAGACGGAAATTCAGATGTCATCACTAGAGATGAAAGTTCGTAAGGTCATAGAACTGCTGAAGAACAGCAATGACCTTGGTTATGATGACATGCCTACAGAGCTGCTAGCTAAAAGCGCGCAGGCATTAAAACAGCCTGGCTGCGCACATATCGCAAGGAGAACAGCTTCCAGGTGACTGGCACAAAGATCTCGTGGTGCAAATACCTAAGAAAGGAGACACCACTAAATGTAACAACTAGAGGGGAATAACTCTTGTATCGGTGGTGTCGAAGGTGTTTACCAGAATTACCCTGGCAAGAATTCAGCCGACAATGGGTAAGCAGCTACGGAAGGAACAGGCAAAAAAGTCGTGTATCAAATTTTTTTCCGGAATTTCATTAATTCGAAGAAGCTTTTGACAGTTTGAATCCCCTTGGGGAACTCCCATTAAAAAAAAGACGGGGGTGCTCGTCGAAAATTTTGAAAAAAAACCCCTAAGAGGTACCAAGATCTTGTTTTGTTGGCGTGGCTTTTCAACCCCTAAAAGGCACGACGACCACCCTCGTCCTTTTTATATAAGATCCTCCTCCTTCGGGGGCAAAATAAACTGCCAAATCAGAATGGATGGACACGAGGTATAGAAAAAATCGACCGACTCATTTACCTTGGCAGCATGGTTGATGTGCAGGGAGGCGCTGGTGCAGATGCAGATGCAGATGCGAATCGGAAACACAGATTGCGGTGAGCTTTTCCGCGTAATCAGCGGGTACAAATGCATCGCATCTTATGGGCTTGGCCGTCATTGCATGGCAGCCAGTCCCAGAGGGAAGGGGGGAGGGGTTTTCCCAGAAAAAATGGGTGTGCGGCTCGCTTCCCAAAACCATTAGCCTATCTATGACCAAGATCTGCGATTTTCCCCACCGTATTTATGACCTGAGCAAAAATTCGATACCCTATTTATGACCTGATCCTTTAATCAATACCCTGTTTAGTTTCCTAGTTCAGACCGATGTTAAAGGCACTGTGATCATGGGGATTGGCTTTTGTCACGATGTAGATTTTGTTTCACAACAGCGTAGGCTTTACTGGGTATCTTCCTCAGGCTTACAGAGGTGGCTAAGTTTTTCAAACGTCTTCAAGGTTTTACAAGTCTTTTTACCAGTGAAGTTGGCATAAGTTACACGTGAATTACAAGTGTAGTTGGTATAAGCTGCACTCATATTTATGTCAGAGAAACCTAATTTACTAAAACTAACTTAATCAAATATCTTTGCTATTCATAAAAGGTGACTTCAGCTGTTCGAGTTGCCCAAAATAAGAGATTTCATCATCATATCTTGCAAAAATTTGTATTCCAAGAGATTTCTATGCAAAGGAATGCTTAAAAAAAGAAAGCAAACAGATAGAAAACTAACTATGAACTTGGTGTAGGTCCTGATGAAAAGTGAATTAAGTTTTACACTGAAAGAGCATAGAAAATTGAGTTTAAACTCATGAATTGAGGACAAAGAACCTCGAAGGTGTTAGAAATGTAGAGGTCGGCAAGATTTTAATGAGTTTCAGAAAACTCCTCATTATGCTTAAATGTGTGACCTCGATTCAACCTAAAGTAAATTTTTATCTTTAAGGATAATGCTTCTCAGGAGGCACGCCAGCTGAAATCACGTTTTCGGATGTAATGTTAGCTATTAATGTTTGTTTCCTAAATGAAAGTAACGTAAATGGCAACGGAAATAGAGTTCGTTGAAGTTTGGTTGTTTGCCCTGATTCGCAGATTAAAGTAAACTTCGATAATGATCGAAGAAATACNATGTTTGTTTCCTAAATGAAAGTAACGTAAATGGCAACGGAAATAGAGTTCGTTGAAGTTTGGTTGTTTGCCCTGATTCGCAGATTAAAGTAAACTTCGATAATGATCGAAGAAATACGTTTTTGTAGAATGTGTCCAGCTAAATCGTTTCTCAGAGTTTAGTCATAAGATTGATGTTAAGCGTAGGTCGTCCGAAGACATTACGAAATCGTTAACTAAAGTTAAAATAACCCAAATTCCAGAACATTCATATGAACAGTTCTAACATGGTTCTGGTGCTGTAAAATCTTTTGTAAGCCAAAACATAAAGAAAAGCTGTTGAGACAGAGTTAGCTACGATAAACACACAAGACTCTCATAATCTAGATAAGTGTATATCGAGTAAATATTATCAATTATCTAAAAGTAAATAAACCACAAACGAGTTTCCTCTAAAAGCTATTAGCATCTTTTCGATGTTTTCTTTTCGTTTAACCTTTGATTTGATGTGAAGTTTATATGAAATAATTCATATATGAACTGCGGTTGTAGACGAAAGTGAAGAATGATCATCGCAGTTAATTTTCCAATTTAAGCAATTGGAAAGAAGAAGCCTGAAAAAATCAGGGCTTCAACGGGATTCGAACCCGTGACCTCCGCGATACCGGTGCGAAAATTAACTGCGATGATCATTCTTCACTTTCTTTTAACCTTTGATTGTTGGTTAAATTAACATAGAACGGAGTTCCGAACGTTTCTTAAAAGAACATATTTCTTTTGTTGGTGGTTTATTAACCCTTTGATAATTTTCACGATAAGTCCCTAATATGATCCCTTAAGCATTGTTTACACACTGCTAAGGCTTAGTAAATACCCGATTGATATATTTTATTCCCCAAAAACGAACCCATAATAATAGAAATAGGAAAAATCCTCTCCTAAAAGCAAACCGAAGTACTGAAAGAATATCAGGGAATATGTCCCGTCATAATCAGTTCTATCGATGGCAGGGGAAATTCTTGAATGAATAAAATACCGAGTTAATCAAATATGAATAAATGTCGCTTGAGTAAATATCAAATGAAAACAATGCCAGTTGAGCAAATATCAAATAGATCCCAAACATACCCTAAAATTCGTCCCAACACTTTTGTTGATGGTCTTATCGATTATGATGAAAAAGTAGCTTCTTCTAAAAAGCGTATCCAGTCTATCTATCTATAACCCTTAGTACCAAAATAAAGCTTTTTAAGCAAGAGACTATCAAAGTGACTCAAATGTAAAGACCGTGCTTCTTTTTGGCTCCAAAAGCTGGAAAACAGCTGAGGATTTTTATGCATCTACTTGATGTAGAAGACGTAAAACAATAGAGAACAAAATGACAGAAGAACGAGGTGTACAAAGAAAACAATAGGCTCGTGGGGCGACGTTCTTTCTTGACGTGTTCTGTGTCTCCTATATATACCAAGAAGGAACCGATTGTTTTTCTCTTTTAAACGTCCGATTTAGCACTAACTTAGTTGTCAAACTGCTCTATTTTGGTTTAAAAGAAAGTAATAAAAAAACATGTTCAGTTATCCTCAGCCATCTCCTTTGCGATCGTAAATAAACTTGTCTCTCCCTGGTTCAATAGGAGTGGACGTCTGCTCTATGTGAGCTGTGGGGATCAGCAACTCGTGAAAGGGTGACGCCTGGTTTGTTTTGATGACAACAATCTCTTGCCACAGGTAGCAGGGGTCTTTAAATTTGCGTTTTCTTTTCTCGGTGGTCTGCCCTTTAAATTCATCAACCCGGGTCACCTTTATGGAGGCTTTAGCTGACAAGCCCGACTCGACTGCCTTAATCATGCCGCTCACTTTTGCTTCAATTTCAACTCCCTTCTCCTGCATGCTCCTCCAGCTGTTCTTCGAGATCATTTCTACTTCAACCTCCTCGTCATAGCCACCGGGATGGTTCAGAATGAGATGCCACTTGGAGAAGCCACTAATTACGTTTACCAGTGACATTTCATACGCTTTGATTTTATCTTCGAAAATCCTGCCCATTTCGTGCGTGCGGTTTTCATACTTGGTTGCGGGGAAATTGATCTTTTCTTCCTTTGTGTCTGTGAACTTCATGACGAGGTCCACACTGAAGCCCTTGAAAAGGAAGTGACCATGTATCTCACCTGGATTCAAGGTGCGGGTTTTGTCATGATAGACGATCTCAACTTTATACTTGGTATTGTTGTAGAAGCTACAATACCCACCAACAGCACTTACCGCCATTTCGGGTAGAGCTTCGACTACATCGCCTACAGGTTTGACGACAACTTCGTTAATCTTCCCTCCAGCATCTACCAGCATTCCGCCTAGAGCTTCGGCTGCATCGCCTACAGGTCTGACGACAACTTCGTTAATCGCCCCTCCAGCATCTCCCAACACCTTTCCAATACCATCTAAAAAACCAGCCATCTTAAGGAAACAGTTTGTGATTAGTGGCATGTAAGAGTTGGTCTCATTGCCTTCAAAACATAAATATTTAGGTTATTTCCCGGGGGGGGGGGGGTGTACCTCCGCAAATTTTGGATAGGTGTGTGCCGCAAAGGGTCTTAAGCCCTGACCCTATTTAAGAGTGAAGGACGCGTGAAAAATGAGACTCTATTTAAGGCGGAAGCCCGAAAAATGACACCCTACAGAAGGGAAAAAAAGAACCAAAATCTAAGAATGACTTGGAAGGTTTAACTTTATTTCGTTTCTGTAACATTGGAAGTATACGAATAGTTTAGTTTTAACAGATCATTTACTTTTAGCCGGGCATTGACGCCCCGCAATTTTACTTGACATAAGTTAGGTATCCTATCTAAGGATCACACCGGGAACACAATGCCAACAGGGGTAAAAATGACACCCTATTTAAGGATCGACTGAAAAAAACCCCACTCTATCCCGCGACACATAGCTATATAGCCCATATATGGCAGCACCTTCCGGGGGTATTTTCCGGTCATAAGGGCCGTACCAGGAGAACCGTGCCAGAGATCTTGAGTATTTAGTTAATGTGAAGGATTATCAAACGTTTTAACAGGATCTTGTTGCTGCTATTTCCAAGATGATATGGGCTTTCCGAGAATGTTAGCTGACTTTTTTTGCACCTTCACGACATATTTACGCCCTCGAATCCAAAGAGAATGGAAAGTATTTTTACGAAGCTTTTGATTTGTGCCATGAAAAGTACGAATTCGAAAGGGTCCGAAAGAGCTAGAGAAGAGAAACTACTTCTCTTCATCTTCATCACTTTGGACTGCTCTTGTCGCCTCCTTAAATGATGTACTAATAACTTTTAACAGAACACCAAACGTATAATCAATAGGTTCTTATTCAGTTCTTCCTTAGTGGAACTTAATTACCCTAAAAGCAATATTTCGCCCGAAACCGTAATCCTCGCCGATCGAACAGAAAGTTTGAGGTGTTTGTTCATTACGAATTTGCAGATTATACAATAATCTAGCTGCAGATTATACAATAATCATGTCAAGGACATTCAAAGTCACGGGTAATCATGTCAAGTTCGCGAGCTTTGTGTTGCTTGCCGTCAGTGAAGAAGCAAAAACATGACTTTTTTTTCGTTCAATGTATAATAAAACAATTATTAAATTCGGGTTTTTGTGATTTCCAGAATAATCTAGCCAGGTCTCGGTAAGGGTTATCAGCCTCAGCCTTCGGCTTTGGCTGATAACCCCTACCTCGACCTCGATTATTCCGGATATCACAAAAACCTGATCCAATAATTGTTTATAAACAGCGCACTACATCAGCGGTTTGGAGAATCAAAGATTCAAGTTGTGAGGATCACAAAGCAAACCAAACAAAGTTATTTCAAGCTCTTATGTGAGAATCAGTTTGAGATAATGCGCCGATCAATTCGCAGCTTCAACATCCCCCCGGAAGATCCCCCGGGCATTTGAACTTTTGAAGGTTGGCTCGTTCTAATTCCCCCTGGGCCAATGTACTAATAACTTTTAACAGAAAGCCAAAAGTTTAATTAATAGGTTCTTATTCAGTTCTTCCTTAGTGGAACTTGCTTACCCTAAAAAGCAATATTTACGTTTTTAGCATTTATTTACGTTCAAATGCCCTACCGAAGTGCCGAGTTTTTTACTTGCAAGCGCCGTTATTCCACGGTGTGAAAAATTTATGCACATAACACTAGACGCGTTTAGCAACTGAATGCAATACTTTCGAATGAATTATATTATATATTGTTTCAGAGAGGTTGTTGTACATTTTGCAGCGTTTGACCATTCACTATTCAATAGTCGTTCATGCTTTGCAGACAACAACTATTTTATGAAAAAAAGCAAGATCAGCGACCGTGACTTTCTACACATTGACCAGCAATTGATTTGAATATTCAAGTTTTAAAACCAAAAAATTACACGACTCAAATAAACTCTGGTTTAACGAAANGGGGGGGGGGAATGCTGAAGCTTCGAATTGATCCACGCGTAACCGTAAGCTCCAGGTAGATGAGCCCGGAAAACAGTTTCGTCAATCTTCCAAGAAACACAAATAGCAGTGTCTGAAGTTCTTCGGCGACAACGCTTTAACACAACAGCATTGTGTGCAATTGTGGCTTGTACGAAGCACGCACAGACTGCCATCTTCGAAACAAGTGGAAGGCCGATCTAGTGGCAAGAACAATTTTAAGACTTTAAAGAGGATCGATGTCTGAATACAGTATCGTATTTCAGTGGCCAAGTAAGTTGTAAATCTTTCTCATGCTTTCTTGTCAAATTATTGACAAAAACATCCACAAAGACATAACGATGTTCTTCAAAAAATCAAGTCCTCAAATATGACTTTTTTTCTCAGAAATCACGTGCGTTTGTATACTTTTGTGATTCAGTTACCAAATTTGGATACGCTGTAACGCAAGTCTTCCTTGCGTGAGCTAGATGAAAATAGTTTAGTGAAGTTTAGTTAAGAAAATCACAAAATTATTTGCTTGTTTGATGAAAATAGTTTAGTGAAGTTTTAGAAAATCACAAAATCACTTTGCTTGTTTCAAGTTTTTGTTGTAAGACGTTGATCCCGAACAGTTTTGTGCATGGTATGATGGCACGATGAAGGAACTAATGTGACAGCACATTTGAGCTCTTGTGCAGTTCTAATTACTTATGGACTTGTGATATAGGATTTGTTGGGAAATAAATTTACCTTGTTTTATTCGGTGTGAGGAGTTCTGAATTCAGTGGAAAGTTTGCTCTAAAGTTCGTTGTCAAATTGATACTGCAGCTTGAGTCCTGAACTGGGTGATCAAAATTGATTCTAAACTGACGTCAATTTACCGATATAATTGAAATGGAGGATATATTGAATATATATTCTCTTTACCTTTGACTGCCTCAGTCCTGGCTCAATAATTAGAGAAAACTAAAAAGAGGTTTATGAGATTGGTGAATCAATTCATGTAATTCATTTTTTAACAAAAAAACCACTGTGAAAGTGAAGAATGATCATCGCAGTAAATTTTCCAATTTAAGCAAATGGAAAGAAGAGATCCAGAAGAAGCCTGAAAAAAAATCAGGGCTTCAACGGGATTCGAACCCGTGACCTCTGCAGATTCTGGTCATCAACAGGGAAGGGTTTTGGAAGCGGGCAGCACACCCCAACCCAATTTTATTCGGAGTACTCCCCGGGGCGTATCATGAGTGCTGTTTATTTCAGGCCCCCTTCCACACGTATCCGGATATTTTTGAATCCACAAGTTTTTCTTTATAACGGATTCAAAAATTTCCCCGTCCACACGTAGCGTATTCAAATCGACTTCGCCTGTCCTCATGCATCCGATGGTATCCGGATCCACTTTAGAGAAACTAGGCCTACACCTTGTGTATCCGATATCGGTTTATTGTTCGGTAAGAGACTGGACACGATTTTGCTACGTCATCGGATTCGGATTTACTTTTTTCCACTCTGGAGAGCGGACTCAAAAATATCCGGATGCGTGTGGATGGAAGCCGTATCCGGAGAGAAAAAGTTGCGGATTCAAAAATATCTGGATACGTGTTGACGGGGCCTCAACGTACCATTGACAAACTAGGGAATTTTCTGACGTGTTTTAGAAAAAACAAAACAATCGTTGCTAATTTACAGGAAGTTTCAACTATGCATTGAAGCGTGTGCGTATCGGGAGTGCTGTTTCTGCTGTTTGTCTGAAGTACAAACTATAGTCATGCAAATAAAGCCCAGTTGTTATTATTACGGGAATTGTTGGTAATTCGCAGGAAGCTTCAATTCTCACCCAAGCATACAGCAAGATGTCGGGCTAATGTGTTGGGTTTTGCATCAGGGCCGTAGCCAAGCAAACACTACTATCGATGACATATTAAGCAAACAAACACTCGTCTTTTTTTCATGTTATTTTTGTTGAATGTATTTGTCAGTCAGATCTGGGAGCTACAATAGGCTGTTATCAACAAAATGGAACTAACACAGTATCCAGACAAAGTGGCAGGGAAAATGGTGTGGATAGTATTGTGACATTACTCCAGTACGATCTAAAAATCTACCCAACCTTTCATTTCGTCTTCTGAAACTGTTTTGATACAACACTGATTTTTCCTCATCTTCAAGTCTCTTCGGTTCATTACAACACAAATTAGTCTGAGTCTCTAATAGCTGTCATACCTGATCAGTGTGAAGTAGAGCTAAAAAAATCCAGTGTCCACAGTCATTCAAACAGCTTCAACATCAGGCCTCCAGGTTAATTCTTTGCTCCAAATGGATCAACATCCCCAGTTCGTCATCTTCATCGCTTTCCACCTCTTCATATGATTGTCTAGCTACCCTACTACCGCTAGATTCTGAGAAAAAAGTCTGAGTCAAATCACCCTTCTTTCAAATCTAGACGCTGAAGGAAACTGTTCCCCAAATCAATTCATCCGCCCTCGTCTTCAGGTCGTCATCTTCGTCGCTTTCCATATGAAAAATTCACTACCCCACTACCTCTAGATTGTGCACAAAAATTGGAGAAAAAAAATTGAAAAAAATGTCCCCTGGAATGACACGCAGGCTAAAGGGAAAACCAGTCGTCTCAAGTCGACAATAAACTCAAGTTAGATAGTCGGAGCTTCAGTCACTGCTTTCGATTTCAAAATCTGTTACACAAGCAACTCTGGAAGTCACCATTAGAGATTTAAAAATACCCGGACACAAAAACCACACAAAGAAATTTAAATCTGAAAACTTTAATGAAAACGCTTCTCAAAACAGGACCGTACATTCCTACGCACACGGTATATGAGTAGCTGGTCCGTTAAGAGTCAAAATAAGGTAAATACGTGTATATAATATTGCAAAACCTATTCCTAACTCACGGTTGAAATGGGTTGGTATTCGATTAAATCGATCGCACACTTATTGGTACAAATTAATTGTAACTTAGCGTATAACTGAAACGCTCAGATTAATAAACGTGAAAGTTAAATATGCATGGAAGAGTACAAAGCTGATTTTTTTCTGCTTTGAACGTCTGATTCAGCACTAACTTTCATACTCTCTGATTGCATCTGCAAAGATGTTACTCATTTTGTGGGTGCGGTCTTGGAACTTGTGTTCGGGGAAATTGATCTTCACAACCTTTCCGTTATTGAAAATCATGACGAGGTCCAGACTAAAGGGGCCTTTGATAAGGAAGTTATGTTGTGTCTCACCAGGGCTCAAGGTGCGGGTTCCGTCGTAATCGACGATCTCAACTCTATACTTGGTATCGTTTTCCAAGTAACAGTTACTCTTGGCAGCGTTTTTCAGAGCTTCGGCTGCATCGCCCACAGGTTTGACGATCTTCCCTCCAGCTTCTACGAACGCCTTTCCAAAACCAGCTAAAAAGTCACCCATCTAAAGGAAAACAGTTTGTGATTAGTGGTATGGATGAGTTGGTCTCGACGCTGTCAAAAATTGGCTTCAAAACAAATATATTTATGTGATATGCCAGTCAAAAGGGCCGTTATAGGAGAACCGTGATATGCCAGAGGTCTGATGTAATCATTTAACCTGAAGAATTAAAGGAACAGCACAAATTTTCTCCAAAACTTTCTTTTTCTCCATAATTCTGTCCAATCGACCATTCTTAGCCTCTAACGAGCAAAATTTGTCATTTTTGGTTAAAGAAAAGCACAAATTTTCTCCAAAACTTTCTTTTCCTCCGTAATTCTGTCCAATTGACCATTCTTAGCCTCCAACGAGCAAAATTTGCCTCGATGAAGGAATTCATACATTTTTGGTTAACAAACTTTTTAACAGACACTTGTTGCTCTAATTTTCAAGCTGATATTTGTTTTTCGAAAATTTTAGCCGACCATGTTTTGTGCGTTGACGATAAACACTGTATTTGAAACTTTGAAACAAAAAGAATGGATTTTTTTTTTCTAGCGATTCGATTTGTGCCACGAAAAGTGCAAATGCGAAAAATTTAGAGAAGAGAAACAACTTCTCCTCAT